ACAAACAGACTACAGGGGTTCCCCATTATGTCCATTCTGTACATCTGGGGCCAGAACCAAGCAAAGCTCAACTCAACGGAGCATGACATGATTCCACTGACTTCCTCGACCATGCACACAATGCCCGTCCCAAGGCTAGGGTATAGTTTAATGATGTTGTGGTCTGAAGCCTTAAGTGGGGAACTTGTGCCAAAACTCCAGCTGCAGTCACCCCACCCTAGATGCACGTACCTTGAAGTAGGGTGGGGCCAAACAGGGAGCCCTCGACTCCAGGGTACTAGCGTCAGATGTTAATATAAATCTAAGGGGTTGCAGTAAGCACTTAACTACTAAGAGTTACATACACCATGAAAACAGAGGAAAAAATTACCAAGTGTGCAACAAGTTTCTTTCAATGTTGCCTAGTTAATCATCCATATCATTATTTCAGTATGTCATCAATAGAAAAGTAATAATTTCATTAATTGTACAAAGGTAAAAAATAGCGACAAAAGTAGAATAACAAGAATAATTCCCCATAATACCTTCTTTGCTATTCCTTCCAAATAACATACTAATCTAAATGTCCAATCAAATTATCAAAATGATGCAACACGATGGGAGGTAAAGCAATATCAAGGCTGCATATTAAATGTTGTCTGTCTACACTCAGGGGAGGTTAAAATATAATTCACTTCTCTATGCAAGTAAGTTCAAAACTTGTATAATCTATCCTGGACACACTTAACATACATCAAAAACACACATTCTACATCTGTCCCTGGGTCAGCTAACACTTCCTCTCTCTCTCTGGCTAACTCTACTAAATTAAAAAAAAAATAATAATCATAACAAATTAGTTCAGCATAGTTCCGAAAAAGGAAAAATAGGTCTTTCAAGGAGCATAACGAAATCAGTTTGGACACCATATATTGTTCCATAAGAATGGCTAATAGTAGCAAGAAGGCTGACAACAAGACAATGTCAGCTTCCACATAGTTCTTAGTACATCCTTTAGTTTCCGGATTTTCACCACAATGCTCTGTGCAACACTCCAATTGTTGAAAGGGTTATTACAGAACCTGCGGCATTAAACAGCACTTTCACGGTACTTGCGTGTAAAGTTTATGTCCTCATAAGTAAGTATCTCAGTTTCTTTGGCCTGCATGGGTTTTGGCCAACAGACGCAATTGTTAAATCAAAATACTGAGGTTTTATTCAGGGCCATCTTTAATTTTAATTGGACCCTGGTCAAGAATTTACTTGGGCCACCTGACTACATATAGATACACACAAATACACTACCTGACACACATGCAGATACACACTGACCGCATATAGATACACACAAGAACATACAGATACACACAGACTACATATAGATACACTGACACACAGATAGACACAAACACAGATATGCAACCTGACACACATGCAGATACAAAGGTACACACACAGACACACATATACACAACCTGACACACATGCAAATATACAGATACAAACACTGACACATACAGATCCACACTGACTATATACAGATACAAACACAAATGGACAAAATACAGATACAGAGACACATTCTGACAAACGTATTGACACAGAGACACACACAGCCAGCCATACTGAAACACACATGCACAAAGACATACTGAACCACACAGACACCGACAGACACACACACACACATACAGATACACTGACAGACATACTGAAACACACACACACAGACACTGACAGACATATTGACAAACACAGACATACAGAACCACATGGACACTGACAGACTCACACAGACATGCTGACACACTGACAGACATTCAGGCACACATACTGAAACATACATACACACAGACACTGACAAACACACATACAGACATTTTGACATACACACAGACAGCCATACTGAAACACACACACATACATACTGAACCACACAGACACTGACAGACATACTGGCACACATACACACAGACACACATTCTGGCACACATACACACAGACACTGACAGACTCACACACACAGACATAATGACACACTGACAGACATACACACATACACTGAGAGTCATGCACACATACAGACATACTGAACCACACAGACACTGACAGACTCTCACACACACAGACATACAGACACACTGACAGACATACTGGCACACTAACAGACATACACTGACAGACAGACATACACACATACATACTGACACACACACACTCAGACACTCATGCAAAATTTGATAAGCACCCTCCAGTTTCTTACCTTTTCTTGGAGGGTGGCTTCCCTGGGGTCCAGTGGACTGGCTGGGGTGGCTGGTAGTTAAGCTCTCACTCTCTCCCGGCCTGGCCCCCTCTGGAACAGCTCCTTCCTCCTGCGCGGCTCCTGTTTCTGTGGGAGGAAGTGACGCGCGGCTGTAACTTCCTCCCAGTGCTGCCGAAAAGCAAGGGACCGGTCGCGCTGTTAAAGCGCCACAGTGCCCGACTGGGCCCCGGCTGACACAGGCCCACCGGGTGGCCCTAAGTGCATGGGCCATCCGATGGGCCCCCATAGTTTGCGGGCAGAGCGCAAACGGGGCAGCTGCCTTGGGCCCCCCAGCAGGGACAAGGCCCAGGGCAGCTGCCCCGTTTGCCCTGTGTTAAAGTAGGCCCTGGTTTATTGTACTAACCAATATCAGGGTTATGACATTTCCTGTGAAAATGCAATTCATGTGTGTAAAAAGACAAAAATAAAAGTATAAATCACAACATGGGCCCTGCATTTCTGTTAAAATGGCTACACCAAATGTCTCAAATTATGCCATTTGGAATACTCTGGCTTGCCTACTTTTTGAAAATGGTATGCCATAATGGTGGAAATGTATTACCCAGGCTGCCATACTTACTCAAAGACAAGATAGGCCCAGAAAATCACTTTGCCAAATTTCCAACTTTGAAATGGACATCTAATATTTTTGTCCTTGTGACGTTCCCCAAAAATCTGAAAATCTGATACATGGGGGTATTGTTTTATTCAGGAGACATTGTTAAATAAAAATAGTGAGGCTTTGTTGCAATAAGTCATATTAGGAATATGAAATGTCCTGTGCAAAGTGAGTTCATGTGTGTGAAAGAGCACAAATAAAACTATAACCGCTATGTGGGTCCTTAATTTCTGATATAGTGGTTAAATTAAATCCTTAAGGACACATGACATGTGTGACATGTCATGATTCCCTTTTATTCCAGAAGTTTGGTCCTTAAAGGGTTAAGACATCAATAGAATTCGAAAACCCCTGAGCTGATCTGGGTGATTTTTGGATATGTTGGTCCCCCAGATCTGGGCTACCGGGGGATATAACATTTAAAAAAATTATATACACACACACATTATATATATATATATACACACACACACACATACACACACACACACACATATAACAAATTATACGTATATATTTATGTAATAATTTTATGTAATTTTATTAATTACAATTTGTGGGACCTGCCTGACAACCCAGGCCGAAAGTCCAGGGAATTTAATTTGCTAGCACTATATTTAACCCTGTAATTTTCCAAGACACCATAAAACCTGTACATGGGGGGGGGGAGGGGGGTACTGATTTACTCGGAAGACTTTGCTGAACACAAATATTAGTGTTTCAAAACAGTAAAATGTATTACAACAATTATATCGTCCGTGTAAGTGCCATTTGTGTGTATCATCATTGTAATAAATTTTACTGTTTTGAAACACTAATATTTGTGTTCAGCGAAGTCTTCTGAGTAAAACAGTACCCCCCATGTACAGGTTTTATGGTGTCTTGGAAAGTTACAGGGTTAAATATAGTGCTAGAAAATTAAATTCCCTGGACTTTTGGCCTGGGTTGTCAGGCAGGTCCTGCAAATTGTAATTAATAAAATTATTACATAAATATATACGTAGAATAATTTTTATATATATATATATATATATATATATATATATATATATATATATATATAATTTTTAAAAATTATTTTTATTTATATATAGGTATATATCGTGACATATATACTTATGTATATATATATATATATATATATATATATATATATATACACATACATATATATATATATTATTTCGTTCTACGTGTATTTAAGCTGTAAATGTCCCTTGTTTGCTGGGTGCTAAGTCAGGGCTTGGTTATCCAGATATCCAAAGAGGTAGCAGCACTCACAGAGTTTAAAAGTTCCAATCTTAATTAATTCATATTAAAAATCACAATCAACGTTTCAGTCCTCTGTATGAAAAGACCCATACAGAGTGCTGAAACGTTGATCGTGATTTTTAATATGAATTAATAAAGATTGGAACTTTTAACGTCCGTGAGTGCTGCTACCTCTTTGGATATCTTGATATCAAAATATATAAATATATATATATATATATATATATATATATATATAAATTTTAAAATATAGTTAGAATGAAATTACACACACACACACATTTTTTTTATTTTTTATTTTTTTTTACGTATTTACATATTTATTTTATATTATATATAATAATTATATATATATATATATATAATCAATATCATTCTATGTGTATTTTGATATTATATATATATTAAAGTACACTTAGTGTATGTGTATTTATGTGTATATATATATATACTTAGATCATATATATATATATATAACAAATATATATATGATCTAAGTATATATAATGTTATTTTAAACTGTTTTAATTATTTATTTATTTTTTTTACAGGCAGCAGGGGGAGTACCTGTCATTACAGGCACTCTCCCTGCTGGCACTGCCTTGGATGGCTATGCCGTCCATGTGGTCACGAGGTCCTCACGATCACATGGCCCAGGGGTGCCGAAACAGACGGAGGTGGACTCCCTGGGCTCCCAGGTGAGTCCCCACACCGCGATCGCCAGCGATCCGGTTAAGTACATAGGACGGTGGGGACGTGCTATGCCGCCCGCCAGCGTTTAGAGCCGGGTCTCTAAGGACGGCATAGCACGCCCGCAATCCTTAAGGGGTTATACACAGAAAGGACTCTCTCTAATCACCAACCTCCACAAACAAGCTAAGTTCTTCTGGGAATTGCTGTATTGTTCAAATCATTCAGTTCAATCCTCTCAAATTGTGAATCTAGTCAATACAAAAGTCACTTTACTGTGCTTTAATATATTCCTGTATTCCTGCAATTTGAATATATCCTTCACAACTCTGCATATATACTTCTTGTTTATACTCTGCATATAATTCTATTGGACATTGTTAAAGTATTCAGATAAGGATCTGCATACTAAATATTGAATTGCTACTAAAAGGTTTTTCTGTTATAAAAGCAAGTTTTTCTAAGCAATAAAACACTTACTTTAAATTTTCTCAAAGTGACAGAATTTATTTCTAAATCTGCAATTGAGTTCCAACGAACTTTTATTCCGAAGTATTACAAATGGTAGTGATGGATGAACTAAATTCCTCATGAGGACTTCGTGGGTTTCCGGTCACCTCAGCGGGATTGAGCCACGAATGTTATGGAACGGTTTTCAGCATGAGGTAACTGTGCGGTTCCCGGACAACTTGGTTTGCAGTTTTGAACCACTTTGAAATCCGCCAGGAGAGCGCTTTTTGGAGGGAAGGTGTCTGAGACTAAGGGGAACAAATGCTACCTAAGAACAAGGCAGAGCACCCTGTATTGCGGCCGTAGGAGCTCCTGAAAGTTGACCGGCAAAAGCACCAAACGCCCTGGAGCTATTTTGGGCATAGGACCACTTGTGCGGCTGGTCAGAACTTTAACACGGTGGCGTTTCCCCTACACTGCATGGATCTGAGAGCTATTCGGAGAACTTGGGTGCTCAGATCAGTGCTATTTAAAGATGTATTATTTATGGGGTTATTATATATTTCTATGATGTTTTGGGGTATTTTTATGTTTTATATTTTTGTGTTTTTCTCTCTGTTCCTGGGAGATAATTAACTTTAACGCAATTATCTCTCAGGCCCAGAGATTCTTGGGAGGTGATTGTGCTAAATACAATGGAGACCCACTGCTGGGGTCTGTGCATAAAAGGCAGAGTTTGCCTGATTAAAATCAGTTGTACTCCCAGAACTATGTGTTGTCTAGTTACTGGAAGGGGAAGGGCTATTATCACTGCTCAGCACCTCATATTTAAAAGAAGAAAAACTACCACAACAAGAGGACAGTCTTAAAATAGAGGTGCAAAGGTCTAAAAATAGTATCAGGAAGTATTACTTTACTGAGAGGGTAGTGGATGCATGGAATAGCCTTCCAGCTGAAGTGGTAGAGGTTAATACAGTGAAGGAGTTTAAGCATAGATATAAGGCTATCTTAAATAGATAGATATAAGGCTATCTTAAATATAAGAGACTAATGAAATATTTTAGAAAATTGGGCAGACTAGATGGGCCGAATGGTTCTTATCTGCCATCACATTCTATGTTCTATGTTCCAGCTTGTGGAGGATTTGGCAGGGAAAGTCCTTGTAAGGACTAGAGCTCCCAGGACTGTGTGTCGTCCAGTCCCTGGGAGGGAATAGAACTAGTCCCCTATCTTGTTCCAGGACGGAGAGGCTGCATGAGGACCAGAAGCGCTGAGGTTTTCCCCTGTTCCAGCTAGGAAGCGGTCCTTGGTGGAGGTACCCCGCCTGGTACAGGGAGGTTTTCACAAGATTTTGAATTAAACGATTGCTCGTAGTTTTTTTTCCCCCCATCTTCTCCAAGTTGAATTCTTTATTGACGTCAGAAACGTCTATTTTTGTCGGCTCTATCACCGCTTTTATCCTCAACCTCTCGATAGGTCCTTCTATTTCTATATTGGAAATTCCTGTACCCAGGTTTCCATGACAATTTTTTTGTCTTGAGGTAGGGCTCTTTTTGTTTCTGATATCTGTTTAATAATCTCCTCCAAGGGAGATCCAAACAGCTTATTTCTTTCTAACGGAAGAAAGGACTAATTTAGATGCCATATCCACCGTCCAGGACCTATGCCATACTCCTCTACGCGCAACAGATAACAACCCCATAATCCTGGAGGCCAGTTTTAACACTTCCACTGTCATGTCCATTTTATATGCCTCAAATTCTGAAACAAATGGATCAACTGCTTCTCTTGAGTTTCTGCCAATATATCTTCTAAAGCATGGAGCCAAAAACTATTTGCTCTGTTAACAGCAGCTCCTGCGAATAAAGCCAATGCCTTTTGGTAGTTCTTCCAACATTTCATTTTCTGTGATTTTGAATAATTCTTTAAAATGTCTAGAAATAAATGCTTGTTTCTCTGGGTTCTTCTGTTTTCTTTGTATTAGATCAATAAGAGATTGTTGTATTGGAAACCCTTTTTTACCTTTAGAAGATTCCTCTTGTAACAACGTAGAATTCACTTCTTTAATGAATTTATCCGGTGGAAATCCTGCCTCCACACAGGATGATGAACTTGATAAGTCAGAATCAGAGGTGGCTGAGCATTTGCCAAAAGCAATGTCAGATTTGGAAGAAGATCTTTTTCTTTTTCTGCCTTTGTGATCACACTTATGAACAGATGCGGATACTTTGTTAGATTCTTTAATGGTATCCAAAGTCTGGGCCAAGTTATCCTGGAACCACACCAGGAAAGATTGCTTATCTTTTTGCTTTGCGTTTTCCAAAGACAAAGATGCACACTGATTACAAATCTTTTTCCTTGTACCATCTGGGAGAGGTGTTGCGCATTCACTGCAAACTAGATTTTTGGTTTAGATGTAGCCTTTCTAGAAGCAAGATTAGTAATTTTCTCTTTTTCCAATTCTGGGCACACAGGGCTAGACATATCTGAAATATAAAAACATTTTACCTAAGTATTTTTTGCTCCAATAAACGTTAACCAGAGATATTTTTTAAGTGTAGATGATTTAAGCTCAACTCAAAAAAACTCTGACTCGTGTGGGGGGCTGGTGACATGGAGTAACCCTTCTTAGAAGCATCCATCCTGTCAGAGGGCACTGCACAACTTTTATAACGTAGTATCTTTTGCGCCTTTTTTGTTAAAGGACCACTATAGTGCCAGGAAAACATACTCGTTTTCCTGGCACTATAGTGCCCTGAGGGTGCTCCCACCCTCAGGGTCCCCCTCCCGCCCGGCTCTGGAAGGGGGAAAGGGGTAATAACTTAACTTTTTCCAGCGCTGGGCGGAGAGCTCTCCTCCTCCTCTCCGCCCTGCCGGCTGAATGCGCACGCGCGGCAAGAGCTGCGCGCGCATTCAGCCGGTCTCATAGGAAAGCATTTACAATGCTTTCCTATGGACGCTGGCGTGCTCTCACTGTGATTTTCACAGTGAGAAGCACGCAAGCGCCTCTAGTGGCTGCCAATGAGACAGCCACTAGAGGATTAGGGGGAAGGCTTAACCCATTCATAATTATAGCAGTTTCTCTGAAACTGCTATAATTATGAAAAAATGGGTTAACCCTAGCTGGACCTGGCACCCAGACCACTTCATTAAACTGAAGTGGTCTGGGTGCCTAGAGTGGTCCTTTAAGTTCCCGTCTGCACACGCGTAATAGTACATGCAAAAACTTGGTGGAATGCATCACCACCAGGGCGTGTGTTCCACTGCTGTGCACAGGCGCTAAGCCTGCAACGTCATATCTGTGACCTCTGGACCGCCTCTTTGGAAAGTCGGGAACTCACTCGGCATACAAATCTCCCTGAGTCTTTGCTCCGTAACTTCCAGTCGGAGCATGGTCACACAGCATTCTGCCCGGACAGCTATCGGACCACATTCCCCAGACATCAATCCGTGTGTCTCACCAATTTAACAGACGCTCGATGCGTCCCTAGCTGGGACAAGGAAGAACTGGTAATGCCCTTTATATGGTAAGGGGAGGGAGTTGTTTAATTATATCTTGCAGATGTTTGTCCCATTAAGAAAGTGGAAACCTGTAGGTACTGCCACCATATGTCAGAAAAAAATATATTGTGTGCACTTTCACATCTTTAGTTTTAGCGTGTACTAAGAGGCTCATATTCCTGTGGTATTCCACGAGCTGAAATAGTAGATGAGCTTAATCATGGCTGAGTACATGGTGGAAAAAGGTTTACAGGTTAATTTTAGATTAAAAATAATATTGTACAACTAAATTTATATATAGTGTTTTTAAAATTTGACTCATACAGGGTATTAGAAAAAATAAATTTAAAAGTATCTATTCTGTGGGAAGCACAGACATTTTCTCACCTTAGTTGTTTATATCAATTACACCTTTGCCCTAATGATTTATTTAAGGGTTTTCAAAGGGAATAAAATGTGATATTTCAAAAAGGAGCCTGTGTCAGCCAAAAAAAAAAAAAAAATTAGAAAAACAAGCTACAAGGCAGCAGATCCTAATCTTTATGGCAGGGCAAACTACACTCAACTTCCTGTAGAAATGATCAGACAAATTGTGTCTGTGACATTGCCCTCTGGTAATCATGTTTTACCTTGTCAAAGACTTACATTGATGCATTGCCCTTTATTACATACATTGTATTTATCTCCACTAAAGAAATTATGAAACAGGAATAGGTGCTTGATCCAGACAAGGCTATGATCTACTATTAAAGATGAGATGGGGCTGTAGTGTAAGTTTGGGGGGGAGGAAAGAGAAATAGGGCTGTATTCTATGTTTGTGGGGGAGAAGGGTTGTATAATGTATGTGTGTGTGAGATAGGAGCTGTAGTGTAAGTATGTGGGGTGATTAGGACTGCTGTTTGAGTGTTAGGTGGGACTTGGTGGTTTTGTGTGTTCGGGGGATTATATGAGCTGTAGTGTGAGTTATGGGGGTAGATATTAAAATAAATAAATTATATATACAGTGAGGGAAAAAAAAAGTATTTGATCCCCTGCTGATTTTGAATGTTTGCCCACTGACAAAGAAATGATCAGTCTAAAATGTTAATAGTAGGTGTATTTTAACAGTGAGGGACAGAACAAAAAAATAAAATAATCCAGAAAAACACATGTCAAAAAAGTTATAAATTGATTTCTATGTCCATGAGTGATATAAGTATTTGACAACTTTGACTTAGTACTTGGTGGCAAAACCCTTGTTGACAATCACAGAGGTCAGACGTTTCTTCTGGTTGGCCATCAGGTTTGCCCACAGCTCAGGAGGGATTTTGTCCCACTCCTCTTTGAAGATCTTCTCCAAGTCATTAAAGTTTCGAGGCTGATGTTTGGCAACTCGAACCTTCAGGTCTCTTCACAGATTTTCTATGGGATTAAGGTCTGGAGACGGGTTAGGCCACTCCAGGACCTTAATGTGCTTCTTCTTGAGCCACTCTTTTGTTGCCTTGGCTGTGTTTTGTATCATTGTCATGCTGGAATACCCATCCACGACCCATATTTAATGCCCTGGCTGAGGGAAGGAGGTTCTCACCCAAGATTTGATAGTAATGTTTCCACCTCCATGTTTGACGGTGGGGATGGTGTTCTTGGGGTCATAGGCAGCATTTCTCCTCCTCCTCCAAACACGGCGAGCTGATGCCAAAGAGCTCGATTTCACCCAGTTCTCCTCTGAATCATTTAGATGTTCACTGGCAAACTTCAGACAGGCCTGTACATGTGCTTTCTTGACCGGGGGACCTTCCAGGCGCTGCAGCATTTCAGTCCTTCACGGCGTAGTGTGTTACCAATTGTTTTCTTCGTGACTATGGTCCCAGCTGCCTTGAGATCATTAACAAGATCCTCCTGTGTAGTTCTGGGCTGATTCCTCACCGTTCTCATGATCATAAAATCTCCACAAGGTAAGATCTTGCATTGAGCACCAGAGCAAGGGAGACTGAGTTATTTTGTGTTTCTTCCATTTGCAAATAATTGCACCAAATGTTGCCACCTTCTCACCAAGCTGCTTGGCGATGGTCTTGTAGCCCATGCCAGCCTTGTGTAAGTCTACAATCTTGTCCCTGGCATCCTTGCTCTTTGGTCTTGGCCATGGTGGAGAGTTTGGAATCTGATTGATTGCTTCTGTGGACAGGTCTCTTTTATACATGTAACGAGCTGAGATGAGTAGCATTCCCTTTAAGAGAGTGCTGCTAATCTCAGCTCATTAACTTAGAAACATAGAATGTGACGGCAGATAAGAACCCTTCGGCCCATCTAGTCTGCCCAATTTTCTAAATACTTTCATTAGTCCCTGGCCTTATCTTATAGTTAGGATGGCCTTATGCCTATCCCACGCATGCTTAAACTCCTTTACTGTGTTAACCTCTACCACTTCAGCTGGAAGGCTATTCCATGCATCCACTACCTTCTCAGTCGAGTAATACTTCCTGATATTTTTAAACCTTTGTCCCTCTAATTTAAGACTATGTCCTCTTGTTGTGGTAGGTTTTCTTTTAAATATAGTCTCCTCCTTTACTTGTATAAAAAAGACACCTGGGAGCCAGAAAGCTTACTGATTTATAAGGGGATCAAATACTTATTTCACTCATTGACATGCAAATCAATTTATAACTTTTTTGACATGCGTTTTTCTGTGTTTTGTTATTCTGTCTCTCACTCTTAAAATACACCTACCATTAAAATTATAGACTGATCATGTCAGTGAGCAAATGTTCAAAGTCAGCAGGGAATCAAATACTCACTGTCTCTATATATAAAATTATTTTTTTAAACATTAAGCTCATTTACATTTCCCTCTTGCCTAGGTGTGTAAGAGGGAGAAATTAATCTCTTGTGGTCCACAGGTGCATCTTCTATCTATCTTTGGTAGGTGCTGATCACTGGTATTGCTCCTTTTGTTGAAGCATCTCATGCCTATCACCCCAAGGCCACTGCTTTGGTGGACTTGCGGAAAAAACTGCCAAGACTGTAAAATGAGCACTCCCAGCACCATAACCACTGTGGTGTGGTGGTCATGGTGTCAGGAGTGCCCTAGCAGCCCCCCACTATAAGTAGTCAAACCATTTGCTAACAGTTTGATTTCTTACCTAGAATCCCCATGGCAAAAAGTTAAGAAAAGGAAAGATTTGAGACAATAAGCAAAGGACGTTTGAAAAACCAAAAATGCATATTTTTAAAAAGGGTCAGAAACATAAAACATAAAACATGCAACCCTATAGTGTTAAAACCACCACCTTGCCCCCCTGACCCTGTATCCCCCCCTAAATAAATATAGTAAAATCGTACATGTATTAATTTCTGCAGTTGCTGCCTCTGATTTGCATGCATGCATGCTTGACATCAGAAGTGACTCTGATCCAATCACAATGCTTTCCCATAGGATTGGCTGAGACTGTGAAGGAGGCAGATTAGGGGCAGAGCCAGCACAAGTTAAACACAGCCCTGGCCAACCAGCATCTCCTCACAGAGATGAATTTAATCAATGCATCCTTGTGGAGACACTGCATTGGCACACACAAAAAAACAAACAAACAAAAACAACCACACAGTTTACAGCAAAAAGCCTGAAGCGAATGATTCTACTAACCAGAACAAATACAATAAGCTGTAGTGGTTCTGGTGACTGTGTCCCTTTAAACTGTGTTAAATTCATTTTGTAACCTATAAATTCTAAAGAGGACATGTAACTTTTTTAACATTATGTTCATTTATCGCCTATAGTTATGAAATATACATATACGATTCAGTTAAATTTCCAGAGAAGTGACATCTCCACTTTAATAATGTCATTACTCAGGCAGAGTAAGAAAAAGAATTGTAAAAAAATAAGTCTTGGACTCTATGCTGGTAAGGGCTAAACCTCTTACTATAAACAAACATTTTTGAACTTGTCCAAGATTGCGGAATGTATCTTGTAAATATATAGTTAGTTTTTTTTTTTTTTTTTTTTAAAAACACAGGTTTGAAATTAATACCCACGAAAAGATAACTTTACAATTGCATGTCAGACTCAACACGGTTCTTCACATGTGATCCTTTTATGCAACAGATTCAGTATCTAGCACCCACAAGGTAGTAGAGGGAGGGGGTACTGTTCTGTAGACAAGATATAGATATATATAAATCATGGCTATTTGGAGGGAAGAATCAGGAACTTCCAAGTTGGTCTACTTTGCAAGCTGAGAGTTACGTTATCTCACAGCCAGAGTTAGGGGTACTACTGCATCTGTCAAAAAGCTTGGTCATCCTCATTAAGACTAGGACTGTGGAAGAGGAGGGATTAATTATATGGATTTATATAAAGTTACTGGACCCATGAAAAGTAAGCTAAACTCTATAAGTAAAGCTTGACATAAAAAAGGCAGGGCTGTAAAACAGGTTCATTACAAATTAACATTTCGTAGGAAGGATACTCAGAAGGGACAATGGTTTGTAAAAACAAATAATCTATATTTAATAGCTACTCCTGTTAGAGGACAGATGAGATCTTAAAAAACTTAAATCTGTCAAAAAACAATTACACAACTCAAAATTAAGCTTCTCATATAATGCTCTGATATTTTCAAACAGTATCATGGGATTTATTTGTAATTCAACAATAGCTTGAAATAATTTTCACAGTTTGGATTTAAGTGGTATTCAAATGAAAATATTTTTGGAGTGCCCCTAAATACACACTGGGATGGTCTAAATGTATACCAAGAACTACAAACATACAAACACATCATGACTTTTAATTATGGATCTGCACAGCATGGTAATGCACATTCCTTGGGCAGTTATACAATATCACAGTTTCGTAAGGTGGCAGCTGTATTAAGGATCAGAAGTGTTAATGGTTTAACATGGCTTTTTTGTACTTATGTAACATGCAGGCACACTCTATTAAGAAACCGTCTCTAATCATAATTTCATAATAGCGGAGTAAAGCCTGCCTATCTGTGAGGTAATACAGAAGTTATATACTGGGCACAACATTATGCAAGTGTGTATTTTGCAGCATATGCATAAGCAATGAAAAAACATCCTAGACAACAGGGCCTCAATCTATTGAACAAAAAGCATGGCTTTGGATCAACCTGCAGGAAAATTGGTTTCAGACAAATAACATTTCCGGCTTTAAAGGTGGTGGAAACACATTTCATTTGTTTTTTTCAGATTCCAGGGAATGGATTATTGCTCCTTTGCATGCTAGGTAAAAAAAAAAAAAAAAATATATATAATAAAAAAAAAAAAAATATATGAATAAAACTTTATATGTAGATCAAGAAACAGAAGACAGTGAATAAAACCTTTATACATCATATTAACATACTGGCATGCATTAAAAACACACAAAAAAACCAAAACAGGTTAAAGGGACACTATAGATATCAAAAACAATTTTAGCTTAATGAAGCAGATTTACTGCATAGATCATGCGCCTGTAGTCTTGCTGCTCAATTCTCTGTCATTTAGGAGTTAAATGAACACTACAGGGTCAGTAACAAACATGTATTCCTGACTCTATAGTGTTAAAAACACTATTTAGGTGACTTGTTCCCGGTTAACCCCCTTAATAGTTAATAAAAACTTGTCTTTCAGTGCTGTGAGAGTCTGCCGGCACCGGCCCCGCCTACTTGCGGACATGATAATTTATGATTTTTGGCCAACCCAATGCTTTTCCATGGGGAAAGCACTGGTTTGGCTGAAATCGGCAAGGAGGCCCAAACGCTGGCTTAGCCAATCAGCACCTTCTCAGAGTTGCACTGAACCAATGCATCTCTATGAGGAAGATTCAGCTTCTCCATATGCATAGTGTGGAGACGCTGGACAGCATTGCTGTACATTAGACCGCAATGCCCCAGGAAACACCTCCAGTGGCCATTGGAGGTGTCCCTAGGCTGTAATGTAAACATTGTCTTCTCTTTATAAAGGCAGTGTTTACATGAAAATGCCTGCAGGGAATGATTATACTCACCAGAACAAATACATTAAAGGACCACTATAGTGCCAGGAAAACTTACTCGTTTTCCTGGCACTATAGTACCCTCAGGGTCCCCCTCCCGCCGGGCTGGATGCAGAGGAAGGGATTAAACACTCCCCTTTCTCCAGCACTGAGCTCCCTCGGTGCTGGAGAATCTCCCTCTTCTTCCGTCATCGGCTGAATGCACATGCACGGCAAGAGCCGCAAGCACAGCCAGTCCATAGGAAAGCATTTCCTATGGACGCTGGAGTCTTCTCACCGTGAAAATCACAGTGAGAAGCGCGGAAGCGCCTCTAGCGGCTGTCAATGAGACAGCCACTAGAGGCTGGATAAACCCTAAAGTAAACATAGCAGTTTCTCTGAAACTGCTATGTTTACAGCAGAAAGGGTTAATCCTAGGTGGACCTGGCACCCAGACCACTTCATTAAGCTGAAGTGGTCTGGGTGCCTATAGTAGTCTTTTAAGCTGTAGTTCTGGTGACTATAGTGTCCCTTTAAATCACCTTTATTTCTGTTTATGAAGCCGTAGCCCCCCTGGTTGTGACTCTACAGACTGCATTTTTAAATCAGATGTTATTTTTCTTTAAACTTTTTTTTTTTTTTTTTTTTTTTTTCCTGCTCTGCAAATTGAACTTTAACCACACACAGGAAGCTCCTGTAGGGTATGGCAAGCTATTAACAGAGCATGAAATGAGAATTTTAAATTAAACATACTGTACAATAAAAGGAGGTTTAAACATTAGATCTCTCATTACTGAAAGTATTTAGGAAGGCTGTGCAAGTCATATGCAAAGAGGTGTGACTAGGTCTGCATAAATATAGTGATTTGGCTTCAAAATGGCAGAGTTGAGTAGTGAGACTGCAGGGGCATGACCTGTGCACCAAAACTGCTTCACTTTAATGTACTTATTATATATATCTGAACACACAACAAAATCTATCTAGAAGGAGAAAGTGTTGAGAGGTAAGATTTACTTAATTTAAGTTTAGCAACATGTGACTCTTCTACAGCGAATACACATCCCACATGATCCCTTACCAACTGATCATGGGGGTTTACATTAACTGGAGGCCAGCAGGCTGTCTAACCATACAGACATGTGAGCCATCAGCACTCCCAAGTATAAAGTCTTTAATACCAGTAAAATGTGGAAGTCAAATGTGATCACTCGTTAAAAGAACTTGATGGGGAAAAGTGATAATTCTCAAATTCTGTTTGAGCACAACTTAGGCATAGCAAATTACTTCATAGCTCCTAAGCAGATTCAGACTCAATATGGCGCATGAATCCCAGGACAATTGTCTGAAAAGGATTGAGGTTTGGGCACACAGGTTCAAAGTACTGGGTCTACCCTACTGGAAGCCCTCTCTATCAGGATATTTTTCTCAACTTGTCCTCTACTGGGAGGTGTGCAGTATGTGTCAGGGGCTTGGGGGTCACTCCTTTACATATTACACTCCCCATTCCTCAATATGTGATTGGACGAAGCATCAGATTGTATGTACCAGGGTTGTTTTGATTTATATCAAGATTTAATTCAGTAGTTAATAAGCCTTCGTTTAACATCATGGATTTGTTTGTAAAGACTCATTCTTTGTAGTTATTATAATCTTACTTTTTACAACCTAGTAAAAGTTTTAATTGTATAATAACATTTCATATTATTTCTATGGGATTATAGTCTTTTTCTGAGCTTTAGGTTTGGGTTATAAAACTTTGCCTGTGAAAAAGAGGCATGATCTCTCTGTAGACGCTAGTGCACAGTTTTGAGATCTGCAAATCCAAGCATCAGTGATAATACTAGTATTAATAGCTTCTAGTGATCACAAATCTTACAGAAACCTTGCAGAGCATAACATTGTAAAAGCAATTAATATAATTAAATAATATATATATATATATTGTAAACACTGTATAAACATAGCCTCATACTACATAGATAGAGCTGTCCCTTTTTAATATTATAGCTATCAACTTTAATAGAATAAAATCATTCATTTTTAACCACCCTGGTACTCACCAACTTCTAGCCTGTAAATGGTTACTTTTTTGAATCCACTGAACATGGGGTGAATGAGTTAAATAAAGAAATAGAAATAATTTTTGTAATGTTGGAAGGTACTATCCACCAGCACCCATTTCTATGCTAAAGAGTTATTTCAAGTACCATAACCATTTAATTATGGTACATGAAATCTGTAGCAGCATTTCTCTATGAAATACTGCACATACAGAGTATATCCCATCTGCTCTGGGAGTAGTAACTCCCCCCTACGGCTGCGTCATTTAGTGAACTGAAACAAGAGTTCTAGGTTGGCTAAGGTTTATTCTGCATAGCTTTCCATGCACAGTGTGCCATTCATTGCCTGAGATTGGCCAGCTGATATGCTAGTCAATGGATCGCCAGCAGGATTGGCATGTAAAATCCTGCTGCAGAGCAGGTCAGAAGCCCAGAGAAAGCCAGGTAATATTGCTAAAAACCGGTTTGCCACATTACTGGGTAACAGGAGTACCCTGGATACTCCTGACATCAAAATTACAGCTGGCTTATTGCTTGGAGTAACCCTTTAAAGAACCACTCCAAGCACAAGAACAACCTGGGCCCTTTGTCTATATAATAGTGCAAGGCAATTGTTTCTAACCTTCACAGCAAACATGGGCAATCGTTCAGCTCTTCAGAACCTTTTTTAAAATCTTGCTAGAGGCTCTGACAAGCTTATAAGCGGTGTTCGACAAGGTGTATATAGATCTATCCCAAAGCACCTACTTAAAAAGAAAATTATGCCTGAAAACAGCGTGCTGTGTTGCCTATAGTGTTAGGGGACGTGTTTTGTCTCTTAACTGAGACTTGGCCTTGGTCTTGAAAAAAGTCTAATTTAAGAGGCTAAACGCGTAGATTTGAGGTCTCTTCATTTTGGTTGTCACATTTTATAGTGCTCTCTCTTTAAGATAACTGTGGGCTTTTTCGAAGTTACCAGGATCCCAGACTGCACCTCTTGCTCGTGTGGACACAAGTTATTTCAGCTGGTGTCTGGTGCCTACAACCGTCGGCGAGGGTTGAGCTCTCTGGGCAGACCTGGATTTGGTCCAGTACAGCATCAGAGTGTGAGCATCTTTACAGCCTACTTCTATCATCTGACTCGGTGGTGGGGCCCTCCATGGTCAGGTACATAAGGTTTGATTGATATTGCAACCATAGATTAATGGACATTTTTATAGAAATTTTTCTGCTAGTTTATTCAGGTACTTTTCAGAATCTGTTATGTTTATAGTGCTCTTTATTTTTATATATTGTACCTAACCATGGGCCTTTATCCCATGTGGGTCATTTTGACAGTTACACATTTTTCCTGATTGCACCAGTTAGTGGATTATCCCTTTGGGTTTTCACAAACACATAAATCTAAGGTGTGTTTATATTTTGTGGAATTTTTCCTCATACTTTTTGTAGCAGATTTACAACATTCATACAGGTTTTCTGATTGATAAATACTTTTCATTTATTTGATTTTATTAGCACTTTATATTGTGGGATTCCCTAATAAAGTAATTTGTTCATGCTTCACTTTATTTTTATGAAGGAGCGCTCACACTTGACCCTCTGTTTAGATTTACTAAAGTTCATAAAATTATCTACTAACCTCAAAAACAGATCTTTATTAGCTGCAGAACTGACCTCTGATGCTAGTGAAGATTTACCCACTTTTTTCCCCAGAACTCCCATACTTGTTAGTGAGGGGTATTGTGCATATGCTGTGATTGACATCGATAGTTATATTGAGAATTATGGATTTCTATAAAAGAAGATTTAAAAAAAAAAAAAAAAAAATTCCCATACTTTATACCTGTATTTTAACCAATAATTCTATGAGCTCATCAAAATGGTGACTTGCTATATAAAGCTACTGTGGAGGGGGAAATCCATGCTGGGCCCTGATGGAAGAAATCTGCTGCACAAAGTTTGTGGACAGAAATTGATTATTACCAAGTGAAAGAGAAAATGTGAAAATATACCCAGGTCAGTAATCAAGAGAAAAGAGCTCAGCATAGTTCAGACTTATTCTACACAGACACAGGAAAAGTCAGCAGACATTTTGTCCAGAACATCCTGGGATGTGTTACACAAACAGGGAACTGTGGAAAATTAAACAAGCAAATTTCAAAGTTTAGGCCAAAGTAGCAGAGATAGAAAACAGAGGAGCCAGGTACATATAGAATTAGATCATAATTGTTTTCCTATGCAGTAGTATGAATGATTAAAATTGTTGTAATGCATCAAGGCTGTATAGATTTAGTATATGGCTCCATGTTTCTTGACATAGTTTTTCATAACCCTTGACCTTCTGTTCCGACTACTCTTAAATGCGGTTTAACTCTTTGTGGTCTATTGAGTAAAGCGTGATTTTAAAGATCAGCAATATGTTCAGTCTCTATTTTTACCGTTTACATATTCTGATTAGAACGGTCAAGTAGGATTGTTTCCTTATGCTGACAATGGAAAATAATCAACTGCTAGAGAAATCATCATATTGTGGCAATAAGTTACCACTTAACAGCCGACAACAGTGACTTTCAAATGGGCCAATACAAACACAAAAGATATGAATTTTTTTTTTTTTTAACATGCTATATGGCGAGATCTGAATGGACAGGCAAATATAGCTAGCAGCCTTGGTGATGTTACACATCTTTATTTTTAGCCAATGAGTGTGCAGGTAAGCTTGTACTGAGCTCTCTCTCTCTCTCGCCATTTAATGTACGTACTGTGGTGCCAGGAAGGGCTTGCTGCCCTCCTTCATGTCTTAGAAGAGACCTACTGCTGGTCAAAGTCTGGAGCACTGCGTCCACAGATGCACAGGAGGAAAGGAGAGCATAAGATTTAGAGATAAAAGAGGCTGCAAGAGGAAGCCAAAAAGTTTAAAATAATTTAAAAAAACAAAACAAAACAAAAACCATGATAACCGGGTTCGAAGCACATACCTTCTCTTGTGACCATTTCTGCCGTGCTCAGCGCGTGACCACCAAGATCATTGACCACACTGTCTACAGTCTGATGGTGTTTTAGAAAGAATGGTCGGATGAATCGGCTGTAGAGAATTTGTGAGCCATTCCATGTGAAGGGAGCCATGCACCATAATAGGAAAGCACACTGCAAGGTAAATAAAATATAACCAGCACTATCAAAAGACGATTACAGAATGGGAGAAAGTAAGAGACATATGCCCCATACATGCAATAGGAAAAATTTACATTAGCATTGATCCATTCAGGGATGAAATGAAGAACAAGTACAGAAAGAGCATGAAGACACCTGGGCTATAAAAATCCATAAAAGATAAGGTAAAAGCTATTGGACACAACACAGAATAACTGCGCACCGTGGTCTGTAACAACATCCTTACCTTCCCTAAATAATAAAATGGAAACCAGAATAGAAATATGTCGGAAAAAAATTCCACCACACTGAACACCCCATAAACAACCCAGTAGGTCAGCCATATTGTGTCATCTTTTTTATCTGGGCTTTCAATTGCTTTAATCCTGGAGAAGACAGAGGAAAGATTACAACTTGATAAACAGACAAATAATTTTACAAAAATAATTTACATACGAGGACTGAACTTCACATATGCTCCCAAACACGAGACAGTGGTCTGTCCCACCTCCTGCTGAAACAGCTTATGTAATCCTTCTGTCTTCACTCAGTAAACTGTTAAAAGGCTCAATCCTATTAGACTTACGATGTGTAGGCTGGATATACAAAGCCGATCAGATTGCATACCAAAGAAGCTCCATAACCAAATATAAGGTACAGGCCTAAAGAGCAGATGGAACCTAGGGAGAGGAAAAAAATAAAATACATTTAAAACAAAAAAACACACAACAAGAAACCACTACTAAATATTAACAACCTGGACATCAGTTTCAAATAACAGAGAGATTGCTTTCTTATCAAGAACTGTATGAATATTAAATTTTGTGAGATATAAGGTATATTAGCAAAAACAATAGGAGGAAATTGCACTTAATGTGGATTACCTTCCTGTATCAGTCCCCTTAAGCACCAAAAGGTTCACATTAGAGGATTAGTGTCAGACTATTCCCTCCCCCCTCCTCTGACAAGTTCATCAGACCTGAGGGTCATATCTCAATTACCAGAGACTACAGAATCACAACATTTATACGTAGCAGCTACTTTCTATAAGTGAATGTTTGGCTATGCAATGCTGACCTATTTCAAATACTATTTTTCAGACTAATACATATACCTTGTTTCAGGTCTGCCAACTACAGCAGATGTTCTTAAAAGAAGACGTCTAAAGTCCACATTTTCAGGAGAGAGAGATAGATTATATATATATATATATATCCCTGTACACAGATAGACATAAAATACACCCCAAAAAACATGTCTTGTATAAAAGACCATTATACCCAAAGCAGATAAAAAATACACAACAGGACTTCTTAGTGTGTATTCGTGTAATCTCTTAAAAGGACAACGACCATTGAAAATCACTTACAAAAAAACCCCTTTTTTCACAATATGATATACAATTTTCTTTAAAAAAAAACCACACCATTAAAAATTTAACAAGTAACATTTTTTTAATCTGGTTAATTCCAGACACAATCACAGCACAAAGCAAATGAGAAAGAAAAACCAGACACAAAGACTTATGTATCAGCTAGTTTTTTTTTTTTTTTTTTAAATGTATCGAACTGATACTCCACACTCAATACACTGGTTCTCCCCCAAATGAGTAATATTACTGGGAAACATATAGGTGCATATAAAAGGTGTTTTTTTTATACTTTAACAAAAAGAATCACAAAAGCTGCATACTTGTCATGGAAAACCTGACTGTGGCGAAAAAAAAAAAATACAAAACCTACATCACTTTTGTTTCCCCCTCCCTCTTCCATGAACATGTTCAACATACATCAGAAACGTGCAACTTCTGTAACAACTAAAGGGAGCCAAGATGAAGGTGCCCGGTTTCAGGCTACTGTAGGTTTCTACATTTCAATTATTTATAAAATATTTTACCAGGAAAGATACATTGAAATTTCTCTTGTTTTCAAGTATGTCCTGGGACCACAAATCATTGCATTGTTACATTAGGGTACAATAAAATGCAAAAACAAAATTTAATAAATATATACAGACATCACCAGCACTTACATACTATATTCTAGATATATGAAGAGTGACAGTTCCCTTTTAAACACCAACTGACTAGACACCCCCCCCACAAAAAAACAAAAAAAAAACAAACAAAAAAAAACAACACACCAACAAGAGAGACGTCTCACAATACCAAGCCTATTACTGTTTAACTTTTATTTATTTTTTTTTAAAACAAGATAGAGAAAAAAAATTTTAAAAAAAAATGTCCAGGACCTCATTCAATAATGATCTCTAATCTCCCTGGTAGTGCTTAGTCACTCAGTTTCCAACCCTGATTGGGACAGAACCTTCTCTTTATGGTAGATTCGATTTAACCTCAATTCCCCTCCCACAGACAGGTAGGATAACATGAAAAATGCACGCAACAGGATGCACTAAAATCAATGCAAGGAAGAATTCACTTGAAGCTGTTTTTTTTAATGTTAAATAAACAATACGGTAACCATAGAATCGGTGTACATACAATGTACACAATGCACCCTTTTTTTGAGGGGGGAATGCATCCCCCCTTTTCTTTCAGTCTTTATAACTTTTGAATGTTCCACGAATTCCTGTAGATCTTATATCTTCTACTAAATAATGATCCTCTTACCAGTCGCCAGATAGGTCTTTTTGATCCCGGTTTTTTCTTCAAATTTTCCAAATATCCGTGAGACCACGTTGTCTCCGTGGAGATAGTTGTGGAAGCGCTCCCGTAAGGAAGGCATGGTTGGCTCCCAGGAGGTCACAATGGGATCTGATCAGCTGAGCCCAGGATGTCTCTCCCCAGACCAGGGCATGTCACGTGTCAGCCTGGGCGGAGCCTGTGTGGGGAACAGGTGGGTGAAAGTTCATGGTGATGTGGGGAATAAATCACATTTAGGAGTAACTTTGGCGTTTCAGGTGAGCCTAATGTGGGCTCAGCTTCCCAAAACGTCTGGCTAAGCATCTGAGGATGCAGTCCTTAGTACCATAGCTTTTACTTAGTGTTTGTTTAACTAATCTTTCCTATAACAGCACAAAGACTCCCAATACATGCTTTCTGACACTTCTGTGCATCCATTTTGTGCATTTTTTATAACTATTATATAACTGATCTCATGTGAGCAGCGATACATGGCACCCTCGGGGCCACTTTATATTATCTATTTAGGCTTTTACTAACCGTTAACATTTTCAGAACACTCTCTCGCCCCTTAATATATCTTGCTCTACTAGTTGGTACACCTTCACAGGTTAGATTGCTTATGCGGAAGTTACCCTTCATGGAATGGTACATTATACCCCAATAATCAAAACATAACAGTGTAGGTATAAAATGTATACAACATAACACTTCATTACATCTTGTGTATTAAATATTTAACATTTTTGTAATACTTAACTCTTTCCCCACTGGCTATATATCTCCAAATATAATTTACATTTTTATAATATTATTATATAACTGGTCTCATATGGGCAGGGACACCTATGTCATCCTCAGTGCCACTTCAAAATGTCCCTGTGTTTTTTGTTTACTAACGGTTATAATTGTCTGAGTGCAATGTTTTACAAGGTGGTTTTTAGTAAGAGTTAGAATTGAGTGCACGGTTTTATTAGTTGGTTTTTACTAACCGTTATAATTGTCTGAGTGTAATGTTTTACTGTTTTTTTTTTTTTTTACGAACAGTTATACTTGAGTGTACTATTTTACTAGTTGGTACAAATTTAAGGGCCATTATCATTGGCAGAGCACACATTATCTATGTACTGTCCACTCATCTTGTGGCAGATTGTATTATAAACACCAACCGCATGAGTTTCTCCCTAATTGCTTCATATTTGACATTTAGGCCCACTGGTGCTATTTATTCCCACACTACCTGTCCGGGAGCTGCTGCTCTCTCTCTCCAGGGCAGCTCGGTGTTATTGACCTCTAACCCTGAACGTCACTAGACGCAGTTTCCATAGTGACGGTAACACGTGGAAGCCGGTTGCGGCACTCGAAGGCTGGCTGGGCGGGCAGTATGAACTGTGTTTGTGCCCTGGTTATTACTATCGTTATGAGCTTGGCCTGGGCTGGGGAGATTTACATGAATCACTGGGCAGTGCATGTACCTGGCGGCCCCCAGGAGGCGGACAGGATAGCGACCAAATATGGCTTCATCAACCTGGGGCAGGTAAGGAAGGAATAAAACAGGACCGATCATGCGATGTCTTAGGTGGTAGTTCTTCCATGCTGGGACCGATGAAAATGGACATCATATTTTAACTGTTAGAAATTAAATTATTAAGTCCAAGTTGTGCATTACACACAAAGGCTAACAGACATTACAGGCAGGGAAGGATTAAATGGACACTATAGGCACCCAGAACACTTAATCTTTTTGTGAAGTGGTCTGCATGCAGTGCCCCTGTCCCCTTAGCCCTGCAATTGTAATTATTGCAGTTATTGAGAAATTGCAATAATTACCATGCAGGGTTAACTCCAATTCTAGTGGCTGTCTACTAGAGTCACTTCCAGGTCCCTCGCGGTCTTCAGATCCACTAAATTACGCTATACTTCCTCACGCTTTGCATGAGGACACCCAGCATCAGCTAAAACACCATAGGAAAGCATTGATTTCTGTGCTCGCTGCAAATGCGCATTAGGCTCCCCCTTTCCTGTTGGGGGCTGAAGGGGCGGAGGCAGAGACTAGCCCAGTGCCAATGGACTTCGGTACTAGAGTCAGGTAAGGGACTCAAGGGGTTTTTAAGCCTTTCAGCTGAGGGGGGAGTAAGGGGAGAGGATATTATGCTAGGAATACAAAGTTATAGGAAGACACTCTGCTCAAGAAGACTGGGCGCAGGGAAAATGGCCACAGGAGCCTGGCAGGACCCAGGTAATGTATCAAACTGTTTTAAAGTGGTTTCAGTACTTACTCCTGGAACCGTAACCACTAAAGCAGACTGTAGTGGATATGGTGATTTGAGTTACTTTAAATTTACTACAAATTTCAGTTTAGGAAATAACATTGTCAGTTATTCACTAAGAACTCTTATTAGTCTAAGACAGGGGTAGGCAACCTTTTAGCAGCACTGTGCCGATATAGGATTGGGATGTCCCGTAGCACGCCAGTCCTATTTTTTTAAATTGAGGTGTGTATGCTGCCGTATTCTGCTTGTGTTATTTTTACTGTAATTGCTTTGTATTGTTGTATTTGTGCATATATGAGCTATTATCAGGGCCGGCCTTAGGCCTTCAGGCGCCCTGTGCGAAAAATCTTAACAGCCCCCCCCCCCCGCCATCCATGTGTATAGGGGATTTATTAAATGAAAATTTAACAATTAACAAATATTTATCACCTCTTCCCTGTCATTACCTTGCATGGAGGGAGGGCATGCTGATCTCTGGTGATACAGTTTGCTGGGAATATGGTCGGTGCCTTCACTGGGTGCAGACCATCAGCAACTGTCTCCTGAGCTCAGGCACTTACAGTATCAGAGCTTTCCTGTGGTAATCCGCGGCAACGTTCTGATTGGCCGGAACTCGGAAGACAGCTACATTTATCATGTGTGTGTCAGACGTGATTGTGTGATGTGTTCTCTGTGTGCCATATTTGTAATGGGTGTATTGACTGTGTCTGATATGTGTGTGTATTGACCGTGTGTGATTTTTGTTCACTATAGCAGTAGATAGGGGGAGCAGGGGCACTGGGGTAGATGTGGGAGCAATGCACTATAGCAGTAGATAAGGGGAGCAGTGTCACTAGGGTAGACAGGGAACAATGGCAATATAGGGGGAGCATGGGCACAATAGGGATGGATAAGGAGCATGGGCACTATAGGGGTAGATGGAGGGATCAGGTACACTATAGGGGTAAATGGGGAAGCACTATAGGGGTAGATGGGGAGCAGGGGTGCTATAGTGGTAGATCGAGGAGCAGGGGCACTATAGAGGTAGATAGGGGGAACTATAGAGATAGATGGGGAACATGGGTACTATAGGAGTAGAGGGGGCACTATAGGAGTAGAGGGGGCACTATAGGGTAGAGGGGGCACTATAGGGGTAGAGGGGGGCACTATAGGGATAGATGGGGAACAGGTGTACTATAGGGGGAGCAGGGGCACTATAGGGGTAGAGGGGGAACAGGGGTACTATAGTGGGAGCAGGGGCACTGTAGGGATAGATGGGAACAGGGGTACTATAGGTGTAGATGGGGGCACTATAGGGATAGATGGGGAACAGGGGTACTATAGTGGGAGCAGGGGCACTGTAGGGATAGATGGGAACAGGGGTACTATAAGGGGAGCAGGGGCACTATAGGTGTAGATGGGGGCACTATAGGGATAGATGGGGAACAGGGGTACTATAAGGGGAGCAGGGGCACTATAGGTGTAGATGGGGGCACTATAGGGTAGAGGGGGCACTATAGGTATATATGGGGAACAGGGGTACTATAGGGGTAGAGGGGGCACTATAGGGAACAGGGGTACTATAGGGGTAGAGGGGGTCACTTTAGTGGTAGAGGGGGAACAGGGTTACTATAGGGGTAGAGGGGGGCCCTATAGGGATAGGGGGCACTATAGGGATAGATGGGGAACAGGGTTACTATAAGAGTAGAGGGGGCACTATAGGGATAGATGGGGAACAGGGTTACTATAGGGGTAAAGGGTGCACTATAGGGGAAGAGGGGGGCACTACAGGGATAGATGGGGAACAGGGTTACTATAGGGGTAGAGGGGGGCACTATAGGGATAGATGGGGAACAGGGTTACGATAGGGGAAGAGGGGGCACTATAGGGATAGATGGGGAACAGGGGTACTATAGGGGTAGAGGGTGCACTATAGGGGAAGAGGGGGGCACTATAGGGATAGATGGGGAACAGGGTTACTATAGGGCTAGAGGGGGGGGCACTATAGAGATAGATGGGGAACAGGGGTACTATAGGGGGAGCAGGGGCACTATGGTCTCACTTACCAGGCAGCAGATTCAGGCCTCGGTTAGCTCCGCCCCCGCCGACCACTTGGCTCCGCCCCCATCGGCTGCTTGGTTCCGCCTCCTACAGTCTCTTTCGCTGCTAAGCCCTGGTAGAGGGCAGGGGGTGTGCAAGCTGTCAGCCATAGGGCGCCCCCTGCTGCCATGGCGCCCTGTGCGGCCGCACAGCTCGCACACCCCTAAGGCCGGCCCTGGCTATTATATTGTATCTGTTCATGAGTAGTTTGTGGTATCGTGTGTGATACATATGAATGTGGGCTGTGTATGAGGGCTGTTTGTGGAATTGTGTGTGTGTGTGGATGTATATGTCACATTTTGTGTTTGGTTGTGTGTGTATGTGCGGGAGCTGTTTGGGGTATTGCATGTGAGAGGCTGCATGTGGGGTTGTGTGCATGTATGTGGATCGTTAGCGGGTTATGTTTGTGCGGATTGTATGTTTGCTGTGGGCTGTTCGTATTATTTGTATGAGGGGAGGGTTATTGTGCATTTCTGTGTAAATCTAGCAGTTTGGGTGGGTTCCAATGGGGACCAGGCTGGCCAGGTACAGGTGAAGGACAGGAGCTGCAACCAGTGTGGATTCCCATTCACAAGTGCTGGGAGGAAGTGATCTGAGATCACTTACTCTATGTGCTGCAATGCATAAATTGAGGATTGTCCTTCACCACCTTTTCGTATTGGCAGATATCTGAAGTTTCACTGGGACTCCTGATAGGCCAGAGCCTGTTTGGCTGTAGCAGCCTTAGTGCCGTGCAAAGACACCATGAGTGCCGTGCATGGCACTAGTGCCGTAGGTTGCCTACCCCTGGTCTAGGACTATTCATTAAGATGTGGAATTTGTAATTCTCATGTTTACTAAGGCAAAAACACTTGCAATTTTGTCATTTCAATCAGATGATCACATCTCATTCTGTACCACGCACTGCCTGCATTCTCGCATGTGAATCATATATATAAAATATATAAGTAGCATATTTATCAAACACTGTTTTCTTTGAAAAAAAGAGAATGCAAGTTAGCGAAATAAATTAACCCTCTTAAGCAGCCAGTGGGGAAAAAAGTGAAATTGAAACTATAGAGCCAGGAAAACAGTTGTTCCCCTATGTCAAGACCCCTTCCCCACTTCTGTCACTTACCAGAGTCCAGCACCAATGTCCTTTGGCGGGGCTCAGGCTCCACCTCTGCCATTGGCCATGCTCTCATTATTACTTCCCCCATAGGAAGTAATATATATTACAAACCCCATAGGAAAAGCATTATACAGTGCTTTTCCTATGGGGTTTCAGGTGACACTGGATGTCCTAATGCATAGTGTGAGGACATCAGCGTCATTAGGGCGATCACAGAAGTCCCTCTAGTGGCTGTCTGGTAGACAGGTGGAGGTAACTCACAAAGATAATTATTACAGTTTACTAAAAAGTGCAATAATTACCTTTGCAGGGTTAAGGGACCTGGGAATATGCACCCAAACAATTTTAATGAGCGGAAGTGGTCTGGGTGCCTATAGTGCCGCTTTAAGTATAAAATGTGACGATACAGCCCTGGCATCTCTGGCACTGTAGGTGTACCAGTTCAGGCATGCTATCATCATTAAAAAAAAAACACAATAAGTGTTGGCACTCAATTATGCAAGGTGCAGGTATTCGAGGTATAACCCCACGACAACCTCCTAATCTAAATCCAAAAACAAATATGAATACCGCACTCAAAAAAGATAATTCTTGTGAAATCTAAACTGTATTGAATTGCAAGAATATTTATTATAATAGTAATTCATAGGTTAATCAAGTAAACCTTAGTGAAGTTCATTCCAATCATATATATACATCGATTATTTACATATATACACACAAAAAAACTCCCTGTGCTGAATATCATGAACTATATATCTATATACATAGGTTGTGGATCCAAAAAAATGTATGAAAATAAAATGTCCAGAAAAATATAGTAAAAAAG